CTTCATAAAGTGGTCAGTAAAACTGGAAAATCAGTTAAATATAGGAAACAAACATAAACTAGCTAGCTTTCTTGGACATTGAGAGTGCTTTCGCCACAAATCCTCTCCAAGTAGTGAGCTGATGGAAGTGAGTAATAGTTTTAAGTTAACAAGATAGAATGGAACAGGAGCTAACCTTTATAAAACTGACTTATCTTGTTTATACGGAAAATAAGATCTCTAAATTCTATTAACTTCAATCAGAGACAAACCACTTAGATGTTGTCCTCTACTCCAAGCTTATATGGAGACGAAGAGATAGCAAAAGCAGTCCTAGCAGCACATATACCTGTAGAAGGGCATTCGTAAAAAAACGATGCATTATCACCGACACATTCGTCTAAACCGATCATAAGTTATGGAGCTCTAGTAACAATTAGAAAATTGGCGGCCAGATGCAGAGTTTCGCATGCCTTACATTTCAGCATAAATATTAGGAAGCATACTCCGGGTGGGGTTGTATATGAAGTTTTACCTAAAGCCGGCACAAGTCTTAATAATTGCTTAACTCCCAAAAGGGCCTTAGTTTAAGGAAATAAAAATTGTGGATGCTGGACGAATATATGCACGCAGCGCTCATGAGTGAATTTAAATGGAGGACGGCATAATATGATCAATGCCGACTTAGGTACTGGCACTCATTTCATGAACCCGCTGCCGGACTTTCCCTTTTTTACGACTTCCATTTCGGGAAGAATTGAGCTTTGACCTATCGACAGGAAATTATGACTCAAAGATGAAAAACGGAGTTGACGCAGCCTCAAAAGATTTGTCGAAAATACTGATTGCAATTACAGATTTTTGAGTATTGACGAACTTTGACGAGCATGGTGGGCCATAACAAATGGTCTATGGAACAACTGAGACGACTGCGCAGTTTCTAGGTCTTTGCGGGCTGAGATAAACAAAGATTGGACTAAGAAACTTTTGAAATTAAACAAACGCGCAGCAAAACCTCTTACCGACGTCATCCCAAGACTCCGCTTGGGAGGAGTGTTTTCAACAGGCGAATTTTTTTAGACTCCGTTCAAACCTACAAACGCTTGCAGAGCCAAATGAGAGAAAGAAAAGGAAAGTGTGAGCCCTGGGCATATTAAAGAAGATACCTGAAAAAGTGGTACTTTGAATTTCTTGCTGATCCTTGAATTGGAGGCAGCCGTGGAGGCCGAACACCGAGTAAAGGTACAGGAAGGCGTCAGTAGTTTTACACAAATGTAGGCGAGCTATTGGAAAGAGATGAGGTTTTTCGCCCAAAGATATCTATTAGCTCTACGAAACCGTAGTAAAGCATATAATTTTTTATGGAACCCTGGTCTGGTGGAACTCACTTGAAAGAGCTTCACTAGCTAAGCTGCTTGAGAGCATATTACGGGCTTCCTTATTTGGTATTTATAAGTGGGACACTACAGACCACCCCCACATTGGTACCTAACTTAAAGCTTAATATAGAGCTGTCGTCACCGCAGACAAAACTGCCGTATCGCAAACAACCATTAGACACAGGAAAAATGAGTGGATTAAGGACTGGACACTCTGGACTTCTGACGAACTTCGATTTCCCCTCTAGTCGCATGGATTACTGCGCCATCGGAATGGCTCTTTGGTGTTTATTCGCTGCCTACTTTCCCTGAAGGAAAGAATGAGTGGGCGGAGCTGCTGGAGAGGGCGATCACGGATGGATCGAAACTGGACGGTAAGGTTGGTGGAGGAGAGCTTTCCATCACCACTACGCTCAGGCTTCCGGACTGCTGTAGTGTATTTCAGCCAAAATTGGCTGCTATTAAGGATGCAGTGGATAACCTACTCGGGAGTACGATGAAAGTTAGGGAGGTGAGCATTTACTCTCTGAGAGTCAAGTGGATATCAGGGCGTTAAAGGCGCTTCAGGTGCGCTCAAATTTCGTTAATGAATGTATGCTCTCTCTTTCAGTTGCGTCGGTATACTTCTGTACTAAATAGGCCCATTTTGGTATCCGGTGTGACCTGCGTGACATTACAGGGAACTATTTATGTAGCTGCCTAGTTCGCTAGGAAATATACCCTTGAAGCGTTATCACCAGACAAAGAGCGGTTGCGTGTGTATTGACTGCTTGTGGTATACCCTTAGATAGATGGGACTCATGTAACCTCAACGAGCGGTGGACGAAAAACAGGACGTGCGCGATTGCAAAGTCCTTCTGGTCCCAAATTTACATAGCTACAGCTTGACTCTTGGTGGAGAGCTTAACGGGTCACTGTCGAATCGGTATGCACGTAGTTAGGCTCAAAATATCGTCGGTGATACTGCAAAATGGTCTATGTCTATTAGTACCCTTGACACTTAGATGGTCTCTTGCTTGTACCGGAATGCATCTGTAAATCGTTACACCCTAGTAAACGAATGACAAAACTGTTTACTTTTGTCTGATGAAGATGAACGATTTCCAGAAGCGATCAGATACAGATAACAGAACAATTAAGCACCAGAGGTAAATAGTGACGTATAACGTTTTGCAGTGTCACCGACGATATATATTGCCTGATTCTGTGTGTTGCAATTGCCTTGAAGATGACGACATGAAATCACATCAGCACTACCTTCTTAAGCATCCAACGCTCGTAATGCTGAGGTTGAATATACCTGAGGAGCTCTGGGACATTGAGATTACCCCCCCATTTGTAATTACATAATCGGCATGAGGTGTTTTATCGATTAAGCAGTGGATGCCGTTCAAAATGTGATATCACAAACAACAATCCCTTAATTTCGCTAAGTGAGCCCCTTATATCTGGGAGCTTAACTTTACCTAACTTAACTTAATGCACTGATGATGTGTTCGAAATAAAGGTACTGTTTATGCAGTGCTGGCAACAGTATAAAGTGCCCCTAAATTCCTCGACGATGTTGCACTTTGGTTCTGAAGGAGTCCGAGTTAGCGTAGAGAGGGCATGTGGCCATCCAGACTGGTAGTGTAATGATAAGTTCTCTGGCTTTTTGTAGATAAAAGCAATCGATTTTTAAGAAGTGATGCTAATAATTGTAGGGCATATTTGAAAAATTCGTATAAATAGATTGTTATGCTCGTAAAATTGCAATATTTATAGATACGAAAAATTTAGTTTTACGCAATCTACTCATCTCAATGAGATAATATTTTGCTTTATTTAGGCAACAAATCGATGAAATTGAATTTTTCGAAATTATGTATGCATGTGCTAATCCTTTGAAAAGAGGTTGCAAACAAATGCTTGAGATCAAACTTTACCTTAAGGGTTCTCCTAAGCCTAAGAATTTAATTAATACATCTGAATATTAAAACGTTGGACGCACAAGTACATATACATATGTATGAGATCAAAAATTGTTTAATATTTATAAATGTAAATTATCTAAGATTTGTATTGTTCACTTATAGTAATTTTCATTAAGTAGATATTAGCTATGTCACTAATAAGTTTCGCCTATATATATGTATGTATTTAGGTAAGTAAGTATAAGAACAATTTGATAATATTTAATACAGCGCTAGTGCTGCAAAGTGATTCCGTTTTAATCCTACGGAAGTTGCAAGTACATTTCCGCTAAATACTAGCTTAAAATACATACATAATTACTTATGTACAGCAGTGTTCACGAAAATTGCAGCGCGATATGTGGACTAGTTTTGATAACTTAATTTACTTTTATGTCATTTTAACTGTTTTTTTTTGTATAAAATTGTTGTTAATCTTACAACAAAAGCCATACAAATCAAAGTTTCAAACTTTAGAAACAGTAAAAAAATGTTCATCAAAATTAAAATTTTTTTATTCAGAGCCTTTAGAAAAATGATGCAATAGCTAAAGGGTAAGTTTCAAGTGGCTAAGAATTCGCTCTGATTTTAAATTATTTTTTTATAGTATAATAGTAAATATGAAAAATGCTTTATATGGAAGAAAAAGCGCAACAAACCTTCAATGAAAAAATGCGCAAAAATCAACGCAAATTTGTAGTGACTACAAACTTGCACTATGTTATGGAAAAATTGAGTGTGCTATAAAACTGCATACCCGAAAGTTTTCTAAAAATTCTGATAAAAAAGTTTAAAATTATTATGCAATTTTTCTGAGGTTTGTCGAAATTTTATAAATTTCCGAGACACTGCGACAACCTTGATTTGTAGGTTTCTTGCAGCATAAACTATAATTTTTATAAATATTAAATAAAAGAAAACCGTGTCAGTATATTACGCTGCTATTTTCGTGAACACTGCTGTATGTTTATATGCATGTATGTAGATATACGTTACACACTAAATTGGTTACTGGTAATGCATGTTTGGATGTGTGTATGTGTATGTGTGTTTGTATGTATATAATCTTATTATTTTAATACATGTGTAAATGACACGCAGACCGATCATTGTGAATTGCACAAAGGCTTTTGTATTGTTATGATTTAGTATTAATTAATGTCACTGTGTGTGTGTACACTTGTGCATTTGGATGCAGCTTATTGCAGCCGCCTGCATAAGTAAGTATTTATGTAAGTACACGAATGTGTATGGGAGAGTATTTGACAGCTTGTGAGTTGTCAAACTGATGGCGCTTTCTCTTCTATCCAATTTTAATACAAGTTTTTGAAATAAGGCCAAAAAATAATAATTTAATAACGTTAATTGCATTCAATTAATGCAAAGTGTAAAGTGTCATTCACTTAGTAAATCCCGTATGGAAATGCCGCGCTTGCCAACTACGTACCGCGGTGAGGAGGATATGTATGTACGCTTTTGTAGGTATCCGTGTATTGATTTTGTTGCTTTTAAATTGATATGGTATACATAAATCTGTGTGTTTGAGCATTTTTCGCCCAGCAACTGCTCAACCACAAAAGGGCGCCGGACATTTAAATTCAGTTACCCCTTTAGTTATTTACTTTGTGTTGGCCCAATATATTTTGTTTAAATGCAGCTCTTTATTGTGGCCGTGGCAATTGCGTTATGACTGCCGTTGGCGGTCAGATGCCAAGCGTGTTGGCGCCCGGCAATTGATATAGCGTGGCTGTGGTCGGCATTTCCAGCCCTTGAACCGATAGTAAATCGCCCAGTGGGTAGCCAAGAGTGGCGGCAGCTGTCGCCGCTGGCGTCGGACGAACTTGTGTGGCCGTTGGTTGGGCCAAATGACCTATCCCAGCAGGCGGACGTAAACCGCCGACCGCGGCAGCTGCCAGTAGGCGCTTATAGCCGACAATAGCGGCGGCATCGTAAATTGAAGCTGCTTGGGGATTAGTGGCTGCTGCAGCGGCTGCATATTGCAACAGTGAAGGAGTAGCCGCTGCAGGTTGAACAGCTGCTGCTGTAGCTGAGAATGGTATAAGTGTATGTGTGGCGCCAGCAGTGGCTGCTGCAACCGCATTGGCTAGCGATTGCTGTTGCTGTGCGGCTGCTGCCGCCACCACCGCAGCTTGCTGTTGTTGTTGTGCATGTTGTTGTTGCTGTTGCTGTTGCTGCTGCTGCTGATGGTGGTGGTGATTGACAGCAGCTGCAGCAGCGGCTGCAGCAGCCGAGAAATGTGTCGGTATGGGATAGGGAGTGTAGCGTAACGAAGTGGATGCTGCAGGCGCACCAGCGCCAGCGCCCACGCCTGATCCGCCGAACATGCCGGCATGTGGATGCGCCGCATGATGATGATGATGGTGGTGGTGGTGAGCGCCCGAGCTGGTAGCAGCCGCAGCGCCGGCTAGATTGTGGTGTGTCGCAGTGGCAAATGTACTACTGATTAGACCGCCACCGTTGGCATTACCGCCCCAAACTACCAACTCACCGTAAGCAGAGCGGCCGGCAGCACGCGTCTTGGCCAAGTTGGCCGGCAGCATGACTTCCTTTGGTTGCGCCTTCTTACATTCAACCTGTAAAGCAAAGTAGAATTAATCGTTATAAGCATATTTTATGAAATACGGTTTAAAGCTGATATCAACAGCAGCAGGAAATACGATAGGTAATAGGTCGTTCAGGGAGCTGTAACTTATATGTATATGTATGTACACAGAAAGTTGCGAACACTCACCATTTTGTTGTTGATCTCATGGAAATGAATTTCACAAACTTTGTCTACCACATCCTCGCTCTGAAATGTTACGAAGCCAAAACCTGTAACAGAAACGGAAAGTGCACAAATTAATAAATTAAATTAGTAAACATCAAGGCTGCAAAGTTGACGAGAGCGAATCGGGAGGGCAAGTTGAAGTACGCAAGTACGAACGAACTACTCGTAGGTGAACAAGCTGCCACTGTCGAACAAACGCGGAGGAGTAGTTCTTCGCTTATTTCAACATACCACATTTGTCCGTACATTATCTTTCTTGGCTGTAAGGCCTTTGGGAATTTTCAAGTCGACCGAAGTCGACCGGCCGGAACTCTTGCGGATTGCGGTTTTGTAAACTATTACTGAGTTATCGCAACATTTTCTGGGCATATGATGCTAAGGCAGTTCGAGAGATTCAGAGTTAAGTTGAATATTGCGCCCTGCAGTAAGATAGCATTTGTGTCTTGTTTATTCCTTTTTGGCCAACAGCAAACCGCAATCAGAGTAACAACAACTGTGCCCAACAAACACTTACATTTATGAATTCGTCATAAATGAAACTGTAAATTGGCTGATTCTACCGACCATAAACATTAAGCTGGATACTTCCGTCGGAAGTGGCAAGCAGTGAAGTTAGGCAGTTTGGTATGCGCTAGGGCAAATCACTCGGTTTTTGCAAGCCAGATTCCACAGTTTTTTTCGACGTTTTCATACAAATTTTAAGCTATCAATAAAAGTTTTCAGTTTTTCGAAGTTTCCAAGGCTTTTTACGGTTTAAGGGAAACCCGTAAGAAGTTCTAAAACTATATCCTAGGTTATTTGGGCATGAACAGTATATCATATTTCATTCCAATAAATTAATGTTTGGCGCTTAAACATTTTCTACGTGGTTGGCCGAACTCTCTTCCAATTCGGGTTCTGCTTCTTGTTGTTGTGACACAAAACGAAGAAGATTTTTTTGTGGCAGAAGTAGACTCAGAGGTGTGCCATTGCTGCCGAGGGGCGACTGCTATTTGGAAAAAACTTATTTTGAAGTTGCTGGGACCAGAAATTGAACCATGGATCTCATGGCAGTAGGCACTTCTAGGCACTCGGCTGGGTGGAAAGAAGATCCGAAAAAAGTCAGGAAAATCCAAAAGAGTATTAAAAAAGTTAAAATAAGTCCAAACTGATTTTTTATTTGCTTCACTTTTGATCTAAAAAAAAACTGAACTTATTTTGCTTTGCCCTTTTCTAATTAAAAGCCATCTTTACTGTTAATATTTTTATTGTAATTTTCGGTAATGACTTCATACCAACCCTGCAGTGAAAAGCTAAACCAGTATGCTCAAATTCCAGTTCATGAACTATTATTTAAGGATAAAAGTCATACCAGTTCGTTATGAACCATAATTATACCAGTTCCGCGCAGAAAACAGTAAACTAGTTGGTAGAAATTCTAGTCCGAAAACTGGTATTAAATGGGAGAGTCATACCAGTTCGTCATGGACTATAATTATACCAGTTCTCCCCAGTGAAATGCCAAATCAGCCAGTATAACTACTAGTTCATTAACCAGTATGTGCTAAAGCGACGGCCTACCATTTCGGCGATTTCGAACAACTTATGCGATCAGCGACATCTGTCTTTGAATAGGCATAACCAAAACTAAGCCGTGGTTAATTGCTTTCATCACAAATGTCGGCTGTGGCGTCGAGTGAAAACTACCGATTCTGGTTCTGAGATCTCAGGTTCGAGTGAGCGTGGTGGTTGTTAAAGTAAAGTAAGTAAATTAATTTAAATAATTATTTCAATTTAAATATAAAATAGAAATTTTACATAAATTTACTTTGATTTGGAAAAAAACCAAATACTCAAACACCATAAAAAATGAAAAAAAAAATTTTTTTGTTCTTTTTAAAACGATAAATTTAGAAATTACACAAGAGATATAAATAAAAAATAAACAAATAAAAAAAACAAAAATAAAAAAAAAAAGATTCGCTCACTGAGATTCGAACTCGGATCTCTTGATTTGGCGTGCCAAAGCTTTACTCTGTCGACCATTGCCACTGTTGCAGCGCCGCGAGCAAAATGACATACTTATGCTTTTCACGGGGGATGAATAGGCAGTCTATCCCGTCAACTGGTATGATGCTACTAGTATTTCTACTGGTAGCGTGCTGATGCAGGAGCGGACAATTGACATCTCCTATGACACCGCCATGTTAAAAATACCAGTCGCTAACATTGAAAAAGGATACAACGTGAACTAGTTGTGCTGAAACGCAAACTGGGAGCATTCTGGTTCACAACTGGTAGCTTTCCCTGCAGGGAACTGTATGAAAACTGTGTAAAATAAAATCGGTTTATACTGTTTTTTCTTAATTTAAAAATCGGCAACCGTTTTTTTTTTCAAATTGCACATTTTCGAATAACTCGAAACCGGGGGTTTGGAAAAATTAGGATGCATCCGCAAAAATTTACGTAATCGGTTTATTTGGCGTCCAATTTATATAAACAATTCTTTCTTTATTACAAAATTTTAATGTACATCGTTAATTGAGTAATCCTTATTAATACATATGTGTAAATTAAATAGTTCCATTTGAAAAGACAATCTTAACTAATAGCCAAATATAAATTTAGTTAAGTAAGTGGAGTGGAGTACTAAACTAACATTTTACTGACTTGTTTTTATACAAATAGAATAACATTAATACGAAATATGACTATTATTTTCTTTCAACAAAAATATTTAGGACATGCGTATAAGAAATTAATAAATGTGAAGTAAATACATATCGTCACCCTTATGCGAGAAGCATGAATGCGCAAATTTACCAATTTTGAGTTATAGGGTTAACTTGATTACCCTTTGGATGTTCTATGTTATAGCAAAACCCACACTGAAAATAAAATTTCATAAAAATGCTACCAAAAACTTTCGTAGTCTTGATTTTTGTACAACGTACGAAACTTTCGTTTATAATACGAATACATTTTTCACAACGAAACAAGATTTTATGAACCATTCGTAAATATAACGAAAGGAGTTTCAAAAGGAAATTTTTCAGTACAATTTACGAAAACTTTCGTTTATATTACAAAACACCTGCGTAAATTACCAAACAAATCTTTGTACCAATAATTTTGTATATTGTACGAAGACATTCGTATACATATTAAGTACACTGAGAAACTGACAAGAAGAGATAATCTTTTGATTATAATTAAACATCGACTGAGAAATCGGCTGTTTGTGTGTAAGTGCAATTGTAAGGCACATTTTACCACCCGGTAAAGAAGTTTGCTTTCAGTTGCCATTTCTTAGTATTGTGTACCTATATGGAAGGTAAACTTCAAAGGTTGTTTGCTTGGATTTATTAAAATATTTGGTCGATTGCATTGATGTTTTCTCTGAATTGATGTTTCATATGAATCTACAACAAAAGCAATCAAAACAAAAGTTATTAGAAAAACATTTTGCTCAGTTAAACAAAAGTCCCAATCAGTTGTAAGTGTAAGTCAAGTTACGCAATACTTAGACTTGACTTGACTTGAAAATTGTATATCTGGCAAATGAGAAGCACGTGTATGTAGTTACCCAAAAAACAACTTCACTTAGAAACTTGGAGAACTATAGATTTTTGATTTCTAAGTTATGTTTCTAAGTGCAAAGAGAGCCATGAGAGAATCATGCTGCCATTTCATTTTTTTTAATAAAACGCCTACAAATATGCCACACAAATATAAGTTTTTGTATAAATGTAATTCATCTGGCAATCGAAAAATAAAGACAGCAAATAAAATAAAAGTAATCACAATTTACGCGTAGTAAATAATTTTTTTTAATGGTAATTTTGTATCTATTTTGTTAATAGGCTGAGTAGTCATTTGTAAGTTACCAGATAAGTCAAGTCAAGTCTAAATCTTGCATAACCCAGTTTTTAGTTGAACAAATTTCTTTTTCCTTCTGTGATTTTTTTTTTGGATAAAATTGTCAATTTTGTAGAAGTTATAAAATTTTCGTTGATTGTACAAAACCGTTTTCGTACATACTACGAAAATATGAGACATCAGATCTTAGTACATTTTACGAACGTATTCGTACTATTTACGAACGAATTTCGTACTACTTACTAAAGAATTTCGTACTATTTCTTTATTTTTTTACGAAATTTTTGTAAAATGCACAAAAAAGTTCGTATATTTAACGAAATTATTTTCCTAAAAACTGCAGTTGTTTCGTAGAACTTCCAATTGCTTTCATTCACCACCCTGTAAAAACCATAAGACGAATTATAACACAACACTTTTATTTTGCTTTTATTCCTAATTTTAAGCGTATTTCTTTAACAAAATGTTTTGCAATGTTTTTATGTCGAGGTACTTGGCAGATTCGCAGCTTCTTCGATATTTGTTTCCTTTCTCGACTATAAATTAAAGGAAAATTATAAGGCGTCTGAAAGGCAAGTTTCAGTGAAAAATCATACATGTACTTACTTAAAATTTCATTAAGTAGTGCGTCTGCTCCTGGCTTGGGCTTGCCGTTGATAGCTAACTGACGAAATTGCCTATTTATGAAGTGGCGTGGCAAGGCTCAGCGTGGACGATGTTAAAAACATTGTATGCTTAAAAGCATTTATCCACAGCTTTAACATTTATTTTTATATTGTATTTTGATCCAGAAAAAGCTTCTTAAAACTTTTAAAATTATATTATACGTCTCACAGTAGCCAACCAGTAGTTTCGCAATGACACGCAGTACATAAAAATATGATGAAATATTAAACTGACGGTAATTTAGTATATTGTACGAAAATATTCGTCTGTTGTACGAATTTAAAATAAATGTTTCTGCATTTGTTCTATGTACGAAAGTATTAAGTAAATTGTACGAATACAGAATTGTAGATTTTGTAAATATTACGAATGCCTTCGTACAATATACAAAATTATTCGTACAGAGATTTTTTCAGTACCTAATTTAAAATAAACGAAAGATTTCGTAAATTGTACTGAAAACAGGCTTTACGAAAGTCCTTTCGTTATATTTACGAATGGTTGGTAAAATCTTGTTTCG